TGTAGTTTGTAGATTTTGTAGCCACTGTAGTTTGCAGTCTCCGAAGCGCCTCATTCATCCGTCAATCCCCCGCCAACTGTCCGTTTTTAATGAAAACTGTAGTTTGTAGTCTTTGTAGTTTGTTTTCAAATTCCCAATATTTTTTGGTCCAAGATAAATTTCCAAAATATTCTGAATTTCGCTGTTTCAAAATTTCCAATAGATTTTGTAGTTTCTAGAAATTCTGTCATTTGAAATTTTCGAAAATTTCAAAAAACAATAGCATTTCCGGAACATTCCGAAATTCGCGATTTCGAAATTTCCAGAAAGACTACAAGTCTTCGTAATTTTTGTAGTTTGTAGTCTTTGTAGTCTCTGAAGTTTCTAAAATTTCTAACATTTGAAAATTTCGAAAAATCTGAAATTCCAGCAAATTAAAAAATGTAGGACTTTCTAGCCCAGAAATTCCAGAATATTGAGCCAGAAAAACCAGGGCTGTCCAAAAGGCCGGCCTCGGCCGGCCGAAGGCCTCGCGCAACTTTGTGCGGCCGAGGCCGTCGCAAGTTCGCTTCATTGAGAAAAAGCCTCGCGAGGCCTCGGCCGGCCTCGCAAATATTACTACGGTAAGCAAGTCGCATATTGTACGACAAGTTGCGTTTTTTTTTTGTTTTTTCTCGCTCTTTTTCAGCAAATCACGCATTTTTTGAGTTTTCTCGATTTTTCGATATTTAGAGCATTTAAAAAAAAGGAGGAAGTCAAGAAATCTTTTATTCAACACTGAGGAGAACACTGAGGAGAACAGGGGAGTTTAACAGGGGAGAGAAAATGACAACAAATTCAAGAAAATTAACAAAAAAAGCTTGTGTTCATGCATCAAAATCTTCAAGTCTCGCCTGTGTCGAATCGATCTTTTTCTTTGAGAATCAATCAACTTTTCCAGCATTTTTAAGTCCAGGCTCTGACGATTTGGTGTGTACAAGTTTTTTATGATTGAAAAAGATCTTTCTACATCTGCTTCCGAAGCTTGAATCGCATGAACTTTTTGGGCGATTTCGTGCAAAATTGGATAGGAGCTTTTTGCCAGAGGCCAAAATTTCGACGCAGGCATACTTCTGGTGTCTCTCTCGTATTGCTGCTGTTCTTGATGAAGCGAACTGCTTTTTGGGGCGCTTGATCCGCCCAGAGTACGTTGAAGGAAAGTGAGATGACGTGCAGGTGGTTGGCTTTGTGGTGGCGCCTGATATCTCATTTCCTCAAAACTTTTTCCCAAATCGTCCAGAAGCTTCTGAGCATCGTTCACGATATCAATCGGAATCTGAAATTTACACACTAGTTCATGTTACAGTGTTCGTCGTTTTCTTTAGTACCTGATGCCGATCGTATCTCAATTGTAACTCATGTAAATCTTTAGACGGAGGATTCAAATAGGTGGCTACAAAATGAATGGTATCGAGACCTACTGCAAATGGCCACCGTTATCTCCTATAATGCTCGAGCAAGATTCATACTTCAAAAATTTGACGGCGTTCTCTGCGCCGGTTGCATGATGAACAAAAACCACTCGCATGTATCCCTGTTTATCAGTGCATTTTTTTCTGAAAAAGAACTAATTTTTTCAACAAAAAAAAAATTTCAACTAGCATAAAAACCGCCGAATCCTTCCTTTTTGTTCTTTATCACTAATTCACAATCGGTTTTGTTGGGATCAATGAACCATTGAGGCATCTGAATTGTGTCTGAAATTGAATAACGGTTAAAACAAATGAATAAATCGGCTTAAACCGACCATCACTGGCGTTCGAAATGTTCATGTCGCCACAGATCGATGGAAAAATCGAGAAAACTCTCGAAAAATGCGTGATTTGCTGAAAAAGAGCGAGAAAAAACAAAAAATTAAAAAAAAACGCAACTTGTCGTAAAATATGCGACTTGCTGACCGTAGTCACATTTGCGAGGCCGGCCTCGGCCGGCCGAGGCCTCGCGAGGCTTTTTCTCAATGGAGCGCGCCGAGGCCTTTTTTCTTCGGCCGAGGCTTTTTCGAGGCCGGCCGAGGCCCGGCCGCCGTTTTGGACAGCCCTGAGAAAAACACAAAATTGAAATGAGCAATGCTCATTTGGTGTGCAAAAAATCACTATACAAAAATGCAGAAAATGTCTGAAACATCGCAGTTCTAAACCGTCGCAGTTCTATAATGTCTCAGTTCTGAAACGTCCCGATGCCCCCTTTTTTGGGAATTTCGAGAGAATTTGGAATGAAAAATGACATTTCCAGGCTGTCCTCGATGCCCATTTGCTTCCAATTCTAGTCAATATTCTGAAGTCTGGAGACCATAAATGTCAATTCGAAGCGTCGTGGGCTCTTTCGAACCTGGCACAAGGAGGAACGTCTCGTCAGATTGTTGCCATGATGGAAGAGAATGTGGTACCTGCATTGTGTCAAGCATTGAATACCACACACAACCAGGATATGTTGAATAACACTCTCGAGACACTCTACACACTCATGCTCACCGTTCAGACTAGGTACCATTTTTAGGGGATTTTCAAGGAAAAATGGGGATTTTTGAGCTGTTTTAGCCATTTTTAGAGGTATTTTTAGTGCTGAAAATGATGGCTCATAACAGAAATTTTGGAGAATTTTTGCCACAATTTCACAATAAAATCACTGTTTTCAAGTGCTGAAAGTGTGCCTGAAAATATTTTTGTTTGGGAATTTTTGAGATTTTCAACCCATTT